ATACGTATAGAGAGGACTCGACACGCTAGCTAGATAATAAGAAAATGAAGTAAACCATTAAGTACAGAAGATCGTCATGAATATATACAGAGAGAAGTGATCGACCTCTCCTTCTCCGAGAGATTGGTCGAACGAAAAGCTTTTGTATATCTATCCGACGCTACTGGGTACGTATATACGATATAAGATCTCTTACAATCCCCTAACATCTGAACTCAACTTCCATATGGTATTCTCCATCTTTGTCGATGACGTGGTCAAGAAAGAATCCCGCCAATTCCTCTTGAATTGCTCCTATGCTATCTTGTGGTAGGAGTTCATCCTGCATCTGCCACATCTAATTTGAAGAAGGGGGTCAATACATATATATGAATGAAACTCAACACAAATGATGGTAATAAAATAAAATTGTGAATATAATTGCTTATGCACTTTATATTGTTTTTTAGAGTAGCCCCGCTCACAGGTCATGTGGCGGATGAACTCGCAAATGCAGTATCCACAGTAATGGGAGATGCGCGGAACTAGCTAGTAGTACTTACTTTCGGGTGGTTAAATCGCAGCTCCGCCGGCAGTCCCGGAGCTTGTGCGGTGAACTTTTTCCAAACCCCGCCAGACAGAGAAAACAATTACTTGATATCAGGAAATGAACAAAGTTGCCGATATGGTGCGCTAATGATCGATTGAACTTACTTCTCAAGCATTTTAGTCATGGTCGCATACTCCTCGGGATTTTTTCGTTTCGAGTCTATGACGGTTACTAGTCCCTGCTCAAGCTTAATCTCTAGCATAATAAAGTGAAAGATACGCATGCATGCATAACTCATCAATTACATTACTATAACGTCGAGTAATAAGGGAAACCGAATATGCACAAGACAGTAAAATTCCTTCAACAAAAAATATGAACTAGGGTTTATCTTCACACTACCGTTCCAACTAGTGATTTGAGTTCATATCCATAGAACATCTAGAATGAACCTAAAACAATCCTAGGGTACAAAAAATTAAATGTACTTCAAAAACAGATGATTTGAATCAAATAATGTGACGAATCGGAAGCTATTTGACTAAAACTAATTGGAGGGATTGGATGAGCTTATTTTTCTCGTTTCGGGGCCATCTCGATCCGCAAAAACGGTGAAAAACAAAGAAGATCCAAAGTGGGGAGTGGAGGAGATGAGAGAGGGGCGAGAGAAAGAACTCCTCTGTTCTTCGGGCGGTTGGATGGGGAGAATGGGGTGAGGCGCGGCCCGCGGGCTTTTAAGTATCCTGACGCCAGGGACAGTGGCCCATGGCGCTAAGGTTATACAGGC